GAGTTTCGCTCTTGTTATCCAGGCTGGAGTGCAATGGCGCGATCTCGGCTCACCGCAACCTCCGCCTCCTGGGTTCAGGCAATTCTCCTGCCTCAGCCTCCTGAGTAGCTGGGATTACAGGCACGCGCCACCATGCCCAGCTGATTTTTTGTATTTTTAGTAGAGATGGGGTTTCACCATGTTGACCAGGATGGTCTCGATCTGTTGACCTCGTGATCCACCCGCCTCGGCCTCCCAAAGTGCTGGGATTACAGGCTTGAGCCACCGTGCCCGGCCTAGTTTTTAGTTAAGAGAGAAAAAAATAGCAGACTGGATGTGAGGAAATAGATGGAAACAGAGCAGAGATTTAACAAAAAATGTTGAGGGTTATGTATACCTTTAACATATTTGAAAAATATAAGGGCCAGACATGATGGCTTATGCCTGTAATCCCAGAACTCTGGGAGGCGGGCAGATCACCTGAGGTTAGGAGGTCAAGAGCAACCTGCCCAACATGGTGAAAGCCCATCTCTCCAAAAAAAAAAAAAAAAAAAACTAGCTGGTCATGGTGGTGGGTGCCTGTAACCCCAGCTGCTCAGGAGGCTGAGACTGGAGAATCACTTGAACCTGGGAGGCGAAGGTTGTAGTGAACTGAGATTGTGCCACTGCACTCTAGTCTGAGCAACAAGAGTGAGACTGTCTCAAAAGAAAAGAAAAGAAAAGAAAAATCTAAGAAAAAAATGAGTTGTTTTAGCCGGGCGCGGTGGCTCACGCCTGTAATCCCAGCACTTTGGGAGGCCGAGGCGGGTGGATCACCAGGTCAAGAGATCGAGACCATCCTGGTCAACATGGTGAAACCCCGTCTCTACTAAAAATACAAAAAATTAGCTGGGCATGGTGGTGCGTGCCTGTAATCCCAGCTGCTCAGGAGGCTGAGGCAGGAGAATTGCCTGAACCCAGGAGGCGGAGGTTGCGGTGAGCCGAGATCGCGCCATTGCACTCCAGCCTGGATAACAAGAGAGAAACTCCGTCTCAAAAAAAAAACTAAGAAAAAAAAGAGTTGTTTTAAAATTATTCTTTGGTGGCCCAGTAAGTTTCTTTTACTGCAACACTGCTTTAAGTTCAGACCATGTAAGCCAGGCACGGTGGCTCACGCCTGTACTCCCAGCACTTTGGGAGGCTGAGGTCAGAGGGTAGCTTGAACCCAGGAATTTGAGAATAGCCTGAGCAACATAGTGAGACCCAGTGTCTTTCAAATACAATAAAATAGAGTTCAGATCATGGTTTGCTTAAAAATCTATAAACATATAATGGTTAACTAAGAATATCCTTAAGTGGAATGTAAAGTTGTGTGGTAGATAAGGCTAGGCTGATCCTGTGGTCAAAGGAGCATTTGCAGTGAAATGGAGAGTTGTTTGGTAAGTAGATCATTGGTCAGTATCCCTTGCTACCAACCTGTTTATAAAGGTCCCTAAGCACCAAAAATAGCAAGGTGCCTCATTTTTAAGATGTAGCCTATTTTCTATTCCAATGTAGCTTAGATAAAATGCAACAAGTTGATTTTCCTTCCATTTCATGAAAGAGTTTTAAATATCTCGAGGTCTATGCTATTAAGAAACCTTTAAAAATCCTTTAATTTAATCCCTTTATTTTACTTCTGTGATCAAAGCAACATGTCAATAAATGTTTTGAGGGCTGGGCCCCGTGGCTCATGCCTGTAATCCCAGCACTTTTGGAGGCCGAGGCAGGTAGATCATGAGGTCAGGAGTTGACCAGCCTGGCCAATATGGTAAAACACCATCTCTACTAAAAATACAAAAATTAGCCGGGTGTGGTGGCAGGCGCCTGTAGTCCCAGCTACTCGGGAGGCTGAGGCAGGAGAGTCACTTGAACCTGGGAGGCAGAGGTTGCAGTGAGCCAAGATCACACCACTGACTCCAGCCTGGGTGACACAGCTGGACTCTGACTCAAAAAAAAAAAAAAAAAAAAAAAAAGTTTTTAATATTAGTATGTGTTAAAACATGTGAAAAAAGACTTGAGATTCTGCTTGTAGATTTGTTTCTACCTTCAGAAACTCAGAAGAAAACTTTTTCTAGTGGAAAGTAAAATCACTGGGTGGAATGGGAAATCCAAAACAGAGAAGTAACACTCAGATGATGACTGCCTACCTACTTTCAAGCTACTGTCCAGGAATACGAGAAGAATTCAGAGACACATTTTTTTCTCTTCCTTTGCAGAGAGGTGGGGCTTAAGTCTGGAATTCAGATGCCTATAGATGACTGCTCTGTGGCAGCTAAACCAAGAGAACAGCTGCTCTGCTCATTATTTCAAACCACACCAGGGTACAGAGCTTGTGCTTCAGGATGGAAACCTATGGTTATCTGCACAGGGAGTCATGCTTTCAAGGACCTCATGTAAGTAATTCGGAATTCAATAGAGCTTTATTATTGAAATTGTAATCAGAAAAAAAAGGAGGGGAAAAGAAAAATTAGGAGGAAGAGGAAAGCTTTGGCTTTAAATCTATCAAATCCCTCATTTTAAAAGACTTTTTTACTGCTAACTCAGGTTAGTCACTTTGTGGCTGCTACTAGCTTCTCAGTTACTGTGCTAAAATTCAGTCTTCTTGCATTTCCAAACTGAAAGCTGAAATTGAATCCTTTTTTCCAGATTCCTGGCACTTTCATCAGATTAAGTGGGGTTCCTTTTACTTTTTGAGATCTTTGTTTCATAAATAACAGTTTACTTCCAAAACATGCAATGTTTGTTTAAACTCTTTTGTTTCCTTCCCTTTTGAAACATGACATGTAGAGCTGCCTAATTTGTACTTCTTTTTCCTCAGTTATTTAACTATTGACTGATTGGGGTGGGTGTATTTACTCCAAGTTAATTAGTATCTAAGTCAAATAAAAAGGCAATTACCATGTTTATCAATATATAAATGTGACTTATAATGTGCTACACTATAATGTAGTTTATTAAACCTAATTTTTCATTGAGGCATATGGAAATCCAAATGTTTTAGGAAATCATCATCACAGTTCAATTGGGTGATTAAAATATATATTCAATTTAAAGATCATCTATAGTCGAGGAATGGCTTATACAAACACATGCGTGTGTGTGTGTGTGTGTGTGTGTGCTTAGAGACAGTCTTGCTCTGTCACCCAGACTGGATTGTAGTAGCATAATCATAGCTCACTGCAGCTTTGAACTCCTGGACTCAAGGGATCCTTCTGCCTCAGTCTCCCAAGTAGCTAGGACAACAGACACAGCTATACCTGGCAAATTTTTAAATGTTTTGTAGAGACAGGGTCTTGCTATGCTGCCTAGGCTAATCTCAAACTCCTGGGCTCAAGTGATGCTCCTGGTTTAGCCTTTCAAAGTGCTGAGATTACAGGTGTGAGCCACTGTATCTGGCCTTATAAAAAGTTTTCAATAAGATATTATTTCTGCAAGTACTGTCAACACAGTTTACTCCTGGCTGTATCACTAACGCATACTATTTGTCTTCTTCTATGAGAATTTATTTTTATTTTTTATTAGCACACCTTAAAATTCAAGGTCAGACTTTTCGAGTTTCTCGCTGGAAACTAAGTTTTTTCCTTATGTTATCAATAAAATCTGCTTAGAAATGGTTGTTTCTAGTTACGAAAGTAATAGTTGGTCTACTCATGTCTCCATCCAGTTTTTTGTATGACCGACTTCAAAAATGTGGCCTGGAATTATCATTTCATTCATTCGCCTAGTTTTTGGTGGTTTCTATGGCCACACAAACTCTGAAATACTCTATATGGCCTTTAAGCGGTCATCCAAGTTTCTCTCCCACTTAATAATTCAATTATATTCTCCAATATTCCTCAGTAAAACCTTTCTCTTGTTAGGCTAGTTTCCCCTGTATGCTATTCTCATGCCCATTTTATTGTCTTCAATCACATCATGTTCTCTTCCAGGAAAATACTCTTTTAAAATGTAAAACTGATTGGGTTTCATGGCACACTGAATGTGAGAGAGAAAGGAGGTGGAGAGGTCAAGAATGCTGCCTAAGTTCCTAGGCAGGTGATAATAATACTCACTGAAAATTAGAAAGGAAGAGAAAGCCCAAGTTTATAAGGAATAAGAAAGCTTAATTTTGGACAAGTGGATTTGAAGTGCCTCTAGAATACATCCAAATAAAGATGTCCTATAAGCAGCTGAATATTTGGGTTTGGACTGAGAAGACTGGGCTAGAAATTCACATCTAGGAATAATTTTAAATGACCATGAAGCCATGCAAGTGGCTGAAGTCATGCTGGAAATATACTAAAATGAGATATAAGGAAGACTAACTACAGAATTCTAGAAAATACTTTTATTTAGGAGTTTGAGGAAGTATAACAGCCAGAGAAGGTCAGGAGCAGTGGCTCACGCCTGTAATCCCAGCACTCTGAGAGGTTGAGGTGGCTGATCATGAGGTCAGGAGTTCAAGACCTGGCCAACACAGTGAAACCCCGTTGCTCATAAAAATACAAAAAAATTGGCTGGGCGCAGTGGCTCACACCTGTAATCCCAGCACTTTGGGAGGCCGAGGCGGGCAGATCATGAGGTCAAGAGATTGAGATCATCCTGGCCAACATAGTGAAACCCTGTCTCTATTTTAAAAAAAAATACAAAAAATTAGCCGGGCATGGTGGCAGGCATCTGTAATCCCAGCCGCTCGAGAGGCTGAGGCAGGAGAATAGCTTGAACCCAGGAGGCAGAAGTTGCAGTGAGCCAAGATCATGCCACTGCACTCCAGCCTGGGTGACAGAGCAAGACTCTGTCTAAAAAAAAAAAAAAAAAAAAAATAGCCAGAGAAGTTGGAAGTAGGCAAGAAATCAGGTGTCTTGGAAACCCAGCTTGTGAAATGTCTCAAGAATAAGGCAGTGACCAACAGTGTAAAAAAGAAGGGGTTAAGAGAAGAGACAGCAGAGGTCAGAGAAGACTAGGTACATGGGCAGTTGGAAAAAGAGGGAATGTGGCCAGGAAAGCACCACTAAATATTTAACATGAAGTGTAAGAGCCCGGCACAATGGCTCACACCTGTAATCCCAGCACTCTTTAGTAGGTTGAGGCAAGTGGATTGCTTGAGGCCAGGAGTTCAAGATCAACCTGGACAACATATTGAGACCCTAGCTCTAAAAAAATTACAAAAATTAGCTGGACATGGTGGCACAAGCCTGTAGCTACTCAGGAGGCTGAGGTGAGAGGATTGCTTGAGCTTGGGAAGTTAAGGCTGCAGCGAGCCATGATCCTGCCACTGCACTCCAGCCTGGGTGACAAAGCGAGACCCTGTCACAAATAAATAAATAAATAAATAAACAATAGACTGAAAAAAAAGTAAAATAGACTGAAGTTCCTGGATTTCCGCAGAAATTTACACCCCATTAAATTTAATGATGTCTAACAGTCATTCTGTTGTCTAAGATTTAGACAACTACTATATGAAAAATACTATTAAAGAGTTCCAAGTTGGCCGAGAGTAAAGTAGAACAGAGTCGGGCAGAAAAATCTGGTGAAACAGGTAGAGTGAGAAAGGTAGTTGCGTGCTTTGGGCTAAGAGTCAGCAGTATATTTCAAAACATGTAAAGTTTAGCTGGTTCCTTTAAAGTCCAGAAAAACATACTTCCCACGTAACTTTGTTTGTTTTCGAGATAGGGTTTCACTCTGTTCCCCAGGCTGGGATGCAGTGGCACAGTCATGGCTCACTGCAGCCTTAGCCTCCCAGGCTCAGGTGATCCTCCCACCTCAGCCTCCCAAGTAGCTGGGACTACAGATGCATGCTACCATGCCCAGCTAATTTTTTGTAGAGATGGGTTTTCACCATATTGCCCATGCTAGTCTTGAACTCCTGGGCTCAAGGGATTCACTCAATTCAGCCTCCCAAACCTATAAGATTATAGGTGTGAACCACCACACCTGGCTTCCCACACTTTTTTTTTTTTTTTTGAGATGGAGTTTCACTCTTGTTACCCAGGCTGGAGTGCAATGGCATGATCTCGGCTCACCGCAACCTCCGCCTCCTGGGTTCAAGCAATTCTCCTGCCTCAGCCTCCTGAGTAGCGGGGATTACAGGCACGAGCCACCATGCCCAGCTAATTTTTGTATTTTTAGTAGAGACGGGGTTTCACCTTGTTAACCAGGATGGTCTCCATCTCTTGACCTCGTGATCCACCTGCCTCGGCCTCCCAAAGTGCTGGGATTATAGGCGTGAGCCACTGCGCCCGGCCTTCCCACGTGACTTTTAATGGGAGGTTATTTTAGAGCATAATTGTGTTGATCCAACTTTTATAAGAAAGTCAAAGTTAAAGGCAAACTAGTTTTTAACACATTTCCCGTTCTTCTAGAATAGCTGTGCCAATTAAACTTTCTGACTTTCTACTAGTCAGGGATGAGTGAGTACTCTCTGACTCACCTCATTTCCCAAGAAGTCAGATAAGAAATAAAATATCAAAGTTATGTGGGAAGTATGTTCTTCTGGACTTTAAAGGAACGTAAAGCTTATGGAGTGTGGCCAGGCACGGTGGCTCATGCCTCTAATCCCAGCACTTTGGGAGGCTGAGGTGGCTGGATCACCTGAGGTCAGGAGTTCGACACCAGCCTGGTCAACAGCCTGGTCAAAACCCCATCTCTACTAACAATAAAAATGGATGTGGTGGTATACGCCTGTAGTCCCAGCCACTCAGGAGGCTAAAGCAGGAGTATCACTTGAACCTGGGAGGCAGAGGTTGCAGTGAGCTGAGATTGCACCACTGCAGTCCACCAGCCTGAACAACAGAGCAAGACTCTGTCTCAAAAAAAAAAAAAAAAGAAGCTTACAGAGTGAATTACGTCTAGCACAAATCTGTGTCTCCAATGCATACCTTCCTCCAGATCCTCAATCTCATGGAAATGTCCTGTAGGTGCTACAAATTCAACATATCCAAAATTAAAGCTCATTATCTTCTCTCCTACTCCAGCCCATCTCCAAATCTGCTTCACTAAGTACAGTGGCGCAACCTCGGCTCACTGCAACCTCCACCTCCTATACCCTAGCAATTCTCTTGCCTTAGCCTCCTGAGTAGCTGCAACTACAGGCGCACGCCACCATGCCTGGCTAATTTTTTTTTTTTTTTGTATTTTTACTAGATGAGGTTTCACCACATTGGCCAGGCTGGTCTTGAACTCCTGACCTCAAATGATCTGCCCACCTTGGCCTCCCAAAGTGCTGGGATTACAGGTGTGAGCCACCGTACCCAGCCAAGATATTTATTAAACAGGAATATCCAGCTTAATATGGTGATGGATTGCTCAGTTTATTCCACCTGTTGTTGATTTCTTCATGATACTGGCTTATGGCAGAGATGGGAAATACATGGCAACATCCTTACTCCCTTCCATCTCCCTAGAAAACAACATG